TACGTACACACGTACTTACGTACATACGTACATACGTACATACGTACATACGTACATACGTACATACATGCATACATGCATACATGCATACATGCATACATACATACATACATACATACACACACATACATACATACACACATACACACATACATACATACATACATACATACAAGCATACAGACAGGCAGACATATATACACATACAGACATGCAAGCATACACACACACATACATGCAGACCTAGATACACACATACATGCATTTACACATGCATCCACACATACATACATGCACATACACACATACATGTATAATTTCATTCATCCATACATACATACACATACATATGACCCGTATCTATAGATATGTCGACATGTGTGCACACACGTTTATATCTACATGGATGTGGATGGGGGGTCCTATGATGCTGTTGGCGTTTTTTGGGGGTTTGGGGGAGGGTCCCCCAGACCGATTTAAAAGGTTTGACAAACTATCTCCTTGGTGACAGGCACCATTGCCCAGTAGGAGTAGGAGTAGCAGAAAGAGGACGAAGAGCACTTCCAGCCAAAGGTGGGCGACATCATGGCCTCGCGATAAGCTGCTCGTGCATCCTTCGTCCATTCGTTTCAGTCTGCCGCTCCTTATACAAGACAGTGGCATCCTCCTGTCAAACAAGTGCCAGAAGCCTTTCTGGCTTTCCTTTCACAGCTTGCTTGCCTCGCACTTCGTCCGCAAGAGAGCGTCGCGGGGAAATCCTGGATCGCAGGGGAACCCCACGTGGACTGGACGCGTGGGATTCGCACGCGCCCCGTCGCCGTGGCTGCCCCGAGGGACAGCACCGACAAGGGACCATTCGTAGAAGGAGGACGGCGAGGAAGAGAGAGAGAGAGAGAGAGAGAAACAACAAAGGAACCGGAAGGGACGGGCATTGGAGAGGTCGGGGCTCTAGAGACGGGGGTCAATGCAAGTGGGGGTCAGCCAGAGCGCGCGCGATCTTGCAGGATCCTGCAGGGCCAGGGTCGCATTGACCCGGGTTTGGGCGTAGGATCCTGCAGCATCTTGCAGGATTCTTCAAGGCCTGATTGACCCGGGTCTGGATTGACCCGGGTCAGAAGATCCCCGAAGAGGATGAGGGGGAGCATTGGATTGGATTGGATTGGAGCTCCTGGAATCTTGTCAACAACAATTGGCACCAGCAGTGATCAGAGTCATGGACGGTCGCATGCATAGCAGCAGACATCACAGCAGAGAAGACCCTCCGGGAATTCAGGGGGTCCAGCTCAGTTGCGACTGGGAGTGTTACCATCGACCATCCACATCAAACAATTCGCTGATCTGAAGCAAAGTTAGGATTCTCAGTCGGTGACTACGCCACCTACCGAGATTATGGGCGCAGCCCTCCACCGCGCTCCGCGATAGCGGCACTGGCCTGGCCCGCATTCTTTCCAGCACGCAGCAGGCTCGGCGAGGCGGGCTCAGCAGGCATGAGGTGCCTTAAGTGTTTCCCCTCTGTCTACGACCGCCCCTCCCACGACCACGACCACGACCCCGTTCCCTTCCCGCTGGCGGTGGGGGGAAACAAGTATTGGAGCATTCGGCAGGGACTCGTGTGCATATGTGGGCACTCGATTCTGTAATGATTCCAGTGTTTGGGGGGATAAAATCCTCCCGCCAACAACTTACTGCCTAGGACGATCTGATTGAGCTAGGGATTCACTCATCCTGCGTTGGCGAGCAGTTTGCTGAGCTCTCTCTCTGATGGCCCCCGCGGGGCTGGGCCTGGGAGGACCCCCCCCCCTCGAGAATCACGAGAGCCTCCATTAGATCCGCCAAGGCCTGCCCCAGGATCACACCCTCGTTGAGTCACGTGGGCAGCGTCGCTTTCAGAGGCTTGCCCTCGGTCCTCCTGTGAACTTCGAGGCGGTCGCAGGGAGCCGCGCGCACCATCTCGGGGACCGTGGCCTTGCAGATCTTGTCGTTCCACAAGCGCGGTCCACATCTTCGTGTTGGTCTCCTCGTTGACCCTCGTCTCCACCTCGGCAGCCGCCGTGCGATCTGCCCCGTGCCAGCCCCCTGCCGCGAGCACCTAAGCGCGCGAGGTGGGCCTCGAGCCTCGAAGCCCTCGCCCCCGCCAGACTGCTTTTTCTGGCGGGGGCGCGGACTCTCGGCGTCGTACACCTTAGGCGATGTTTAAGAAAACCTATGTTTTCGGCCAGAGTCTTGATTATTCTTAACTTGTCAATGTAAATCCCAAGATTTTGATAGAAGTTCTGGGTTTTTATTCCAGTTCTGAGACTCTGAATTTCTTAACCCATGATTTCTTAAGCATTTCGCAGGGTGTACCCCTTGCCCGCGCAGATGTGCGCCGACTCCAGTCCTCCGTCTGCTGGAACTTCGCACCGAAGAAACACGGCCGAACTGAGTTCTGCCACCTCGCGCGTGGCGATGAGAAGGAGCTCGGCCACCACCGTCGGCATCTTCCACCAAGCCTGGTCCATGTTCTTGCCCTCTCCGACTCCGGCTCCCAACTTTCCGACTCACAGCGCCCTTCTCTCCGACTCCGGCTCCCGACTTTCCGACTCCAGCGTCCATCTCTCCGACTCCGGCTCCGGCTCGTCTTCTGAGGGGCCCCGGCCCCCCCGCGCTGTCCTCATAGGGCCGGTCCCGCTGGGCCGACATCGCGCGCTCTGTCTCTGTCTGGTCCATATTCTTGCCCTCCCCGTCCTCCTCCCTGCGCTCCGTGAGGCCGCTCTCGACCCTGGCGCTGTCGACCCCGCCCTGGTCGCCCACCTCCTTGCCCAGCTTGCGCTCGGCGGCCTTGAGCCACGACGGCGTCGAGATTTGCATGGGCTCCGATCCCATCCAGTACACCAGTCGGTCGGAACTCGTCGATCGGCACCAGCACGTGCGAGCACAAGTGAGTACACAAATCTCCCAGGCTTGAGCCAACATCATAGCAGACATGGCACACCAGGGACGTGGGGATACTCGCTTCTGTCTTGAACGTCGCGGGTCCACGGGTTTCATGATGGCCACGGCGAAGAGGTCCCAGGAGGTGGCGAGCCGCATTCGACGCCGATGCGAAGACTTGCTTGCAATGAATACTCACATTCGACGATGTCAGTACATATGCCATGTTACATATGCCATATTCACGTCTCATGTGGTTCAACAGCCTCAGTACATTCACAACCATCTTCCTTGACGATCCCGCAGGCAGGGGACCTCGTAGCCTTGACCAACTTCCGCCGCAGAGAGAGGGGACTCATACCCCGGCGGTGGGATCATGACGGAGAAACACTTAGCTCGAATATGTGACACATCCACGGCGACGAAGTCAGCACACGGTTTCTTATCCAGAAAAAGACTCTAAGGTCCCTCGCCAGTTATCCCAAGACACAGTCCTCCAGTTTTTCCGAAGCCGCGTCCAAATCATCCCTGACCTGCTTGACTCCTGGCGACGAACACTGTGTAGGAAGCCCGCCCAAGAGTTGCGGCCGGTGTGCGTCCAGTGGCATAGCACCGCAGAGCGAACATAACATCTGCGTGTGATTGATGCTGTCACGAGCCCATCCCTGAGATAGCCTAAGTCGTCTAATCAACATTTCCGTGCTACTGGGCGCGATCCTTCAATAACTCAAGATCTGGGTAGTGCTCATGCTCCCAATCTTGTCATCCTCCCCCGTGCACGCCTTCCCCATCATTGCAATCCTCCCCATCGCCGCCAGGACCCTGTCCAACTGCCCGTGGTCCGAGTTCGAGAGAATGACGGATTCCACGCCACTCGAGATAGTGTTCTGGGCGAAGCCGATGAGCAAGAGTCGCTTAAAGCGATAAGGAAGAGGAAGGGGCCATACACCACTGAGGCTCTAAACCGACACGCGTGCATCCTGTATGCGTCTCGTGATCTCGTGGGCCGCCGTGCCCCGAGCAACGAAGTGAGGTCCCAGGTAGCGAGCATAATCAAATACATTCCCAGAGAGCAGAGAAGGACCACCACGAATTATTGTCCGACTCCGATGGCCCCCAGCACTGAAGTAGAGCAAGAACTCCTGTTTAGACATGTTCTGGCCACATCCATAATCTTGAAGTCAGCTATTTATCAGACGCACGCAGTTTACGGAGCAAAGCCTCCAATTTCGAGTCAGCGTCAGCCAGTGGTAGTTGATGTATGTCGTCTGCACTGCTTAATGACGGAACATCTGCACCAACATCCCCCCAAGACGAAATGAGTTCTTTCGCACACATGTCTTCCCCAATGGAATGATGCCCCCGCATCATTACAGGGCGAATCATGGTCGACAAGAGCATAGCAAGAGTGCAAATGCCCCCCATTGTGCCACCTCGTTGTGGTCGCACGAAAAGCTTGGAAGGGAGCCCGATCACCGAGTTATGATAACGCTGCTTGCATAGCTCGACGTTGTGGTATTGGCAGCGGATGTCAACATAATCGTCCATTGCTTCATGAGTTGTGCTACCGAATTCATTAGAAGTGACCTTAAAGCACGCGCGATAAGTTCCAGACACAGCCCTCAACCTCCGCATTGTGTCCATCGAGATCATCACCGCCTCCTCGCTGGCCCCACCTGACAGCTGCGTCATCGATCTGACAGGCACGATCACGGCGTACTTTGAAGGGATATTGGTCTCCTGCCCCTCCCTTGTTTTCCGCTGCCGTTCCACGCCGAGCTTCGCAGTCGATTCCCTCCATGGCACAAGCGAAGCTGCTCTCCATAATCAGATTAGATGTCTGCACATTATACTTATGTACAGGTAGAGTATTATCCCCACCATCGGCGTTCGACTCACGGGGCATTTGTCTGTCAAGGGGGGCAAATCCCCGCAGCGGAGAGGAACACCTGCAGACCTGCGCGGAGGAGGCTCGGGGACGGGGTGGTGTTGAAACCACGAAGGCCTCCGCAAACTGCCGAACACCTCGTCGTCGTCGTCGTCGTGGTCCTTCTCCACATCCTCCTCCCTGCCGTCCGTCGCGCGAGGGGCACGCGCCGAAGATGCACGCCGTGGTCAAGTCCATCATCAAGAGGCCCGAGAAAACCGTCGTCATGCTTGCGCGAGAGATGGGCTTCAGAGCGATGCTGGAGGTGCTGCCGCCCCTGCTGCTGCTCCTCCCCACCGCCCTCTTCGCGCCTCCTCCTTCCATGGGGGCCCAAAGAATACACACCACCACCACGTCGATTCCTCCTCTCGCCTCTTTCCAGCGAGAGGGAGGGGGGGGAGGGAGGTGGTGGTGGTGTATATTTTTTGGCCCCCCATTCCACTCCTCCATTCCCTCGGCCCCATCCTTGTGCTCCCGCTCCTTCTTACCCCCCTTCCTCCTGGGTGACGGAAGGAAGGGGTGTCTTGCGTCGTCTTCGCCGGGGATCAACAGGTTCTCGCAGGTCTCACTCCCTTTTCGGAAGCCTCCAGGCGCCTGGAGGCCACTCGGGGGCCTCCGGGGACCCCCAGATCTTCCGGAGGCGTCGGGGAAGCGATGCTGCAGGTGCTGCAGCGACGGAACGGTGCGAACACCGAGAGCTTGGCATCGCTCGGACGTGTGCATCTTCCTCGGCGAGAACCATCGAGGACCATGCTGGACCATCCAGCAAAGAAAAACACGCACGAAACGGACGAACGCACGGGAAATGGGCGTCCGAGCGATGGCAAGAGAGAGGAGGAGGAGTAGTAGGAGGAGGAGGAGGAGGAGGAGGAGGAGGAGGAGGAGGAGGAGGAGGAGGCGTCTTGGGCACCTCTTGGGGCACTCATGGGGCCTCCTGGGAGCTTCCTGGGGGCCTCTTGGAGGGTTTTGGGGGGCCTTAGGAGAGAGAGAGAGAGAGAGAGAGAGAGAGAGAGAGAGCGAGAGCAGCAGTATCTCAGTCCAGCCGAGGCGCAACGGCCGTCCTCCCCGGCGTGCTTCCCCGCCTTTCGGGGCCTCGTGGCTTCTCGCCGCGCCACGGCTGGAGCCCGCCTCGCAGGCACAGGCAAGGGCGCACCCCGGGAGGGCTCCGCGGACTGCGCTGGAGCGTGCTCCAGATTTCGTAATAAAGGGAGGGGGGTCTCATTTGGGGGGGGGGGGTCTCTTCCAGGCTATCTTGGAGGGCCTGGGGGGGGGTCTGGGGACGATGTTTTGGAGGGTTCTCCCACGGGGGAGGTCTGAAATGGCTTGTCTTGGAGGGGGTCTGGACCCTCCAAGACAAGCCATTTCAGACCTCCCCCGTGGGAGAACCCTCCAAAACATCGTCCCCAGACCCCCCCCAGGCCCTCCAAGATAGCCTGGGGAAGAGATCCCCCCCGAAATGAGACCCCCCTCCCTTTATTACGAAGTCTTCTGGAGTACTTGGGCCGGGCGAGAGGGCGCCCAAAGCAGCAGGGAGGCGGGAGCGCTGCTGTAAGCTTCTCGGGAGGGGAACAAACACACACAGACGCAGTCGATCGTCGATTCCCAAGAAAACATGGAAACTATGGGACGTGGGGGGAAGACAAAAACCCAGAACATATGGGGACATAAGGTGAATCCTTTTATCTGTGTCTATCTATTTGCGTCAATCGATTGTCGATTCCCAAGAAAACATGGGAAACTATGGGAAGTGGGGGGAAGACAAGAACCCAGAACATATGGGGACATGTGGTGAATCCTTTTATCTGTGTCCATCTATTTGCGTGTCCCAGGGCCCCTTCAGATTCGTGCGGCGCGGAAGCGCAACAGTCAGCGAGCGATCGGCATCCAAGGATGTAGCAGAGACCCCGGCATGCGCTGCGTGGCCTCCTTGCAGCCGGCAAGGCGGGGGGTCCCATGCCCAGAAGAGGCCGCATGCCACGCGCGCCGGCGGCAGTGGACAAACAGCAGCCCGCCGAAGTAGTGATATTGACATCAGTCGAGGACTCGCTTACAGAGGAACTTAGGATGGTGAGGCATGGTAAGGCGTCGGGCTGCGCACGGACAGCCCACCTGGGTAGCCCCAGCTGGCCTCAACTCGGGCCGGGCGAAAGGGGGGGATTGGGAATGGGGGGGGTACGAAATCTGCTGCATGCAGCTGGTTTCGGCCTCACCGAGGGGCCCCTTCCTCGATACACAGCCGCCTCCGGCGCCGGGAGGCGCCGGGAAAATCAGCTACGCGAGCTGATTCTGAACCCCCCCCCCTTTCGCCCGACCCGATCAACAGGCCCCACGAGTACAGCGGGGCCCAGGCCAAGAAGCACCCTGCTTGCCTCCAGGGTGCCCTGGGTTGCTTGGGATTGCGATGGTTCTGCCATGGAGGGCGTGGCGCGCCCACGCCGAGAGTCAGTGGACGCCCTGGTCTCAGGGTTGGGTTTCTTGTGGACTTGGCATCGTTCGGACGTGTACATTTTTCCTTCGGCGAGGACCATCGAGGAGCATCCTTGACCATTTGGCGAAAAAAACACGCACGAAACCGAAAAAACACAGGCAATGGACGTCCGAGCGATGGCGAGTGGAAGGTTTCTTGTGGTCGGGCCTCCACTGGTAGTCCCAGCTTGCCCCAAGAGGCCCCCCCGAGGAGTCCGAGGCGGTCTCGACACCTCGGCCCTGGGGTGCGGGGCGCCCCCAAGGTGCCCCGCCAGAGGCGGCGCCAGGGGGTCTGTTGTACTCGGGGGGGGGCTTGTGGAGGCCAGCTGGGACCACTCTGGGGCCTGCTCATCCTCTCTTCCTCCTCCTCCTCCTCCTCCTCGACCTCCTCCCCCTCAATCCTCCTCCTCCTCCTCCTCCTCCTCCTCCTCCTCCTCCTCGACCTCCTCCTCCTCCTCCTCCTCCTCCTCCTCCTCCTCCTCCTCCTCCTCCCCCTTCCCCTCCCCCTCCTCCTCCTGAGGCCAGCTGGGACTGCCTGGAGGGCCTGTGGAGGCCCGCCGGGACTTCTGCGGGAGGGGGGGGTGGGGGTGTCGCCGCGCAGGCCGAAGCCTCACCCGTGCGGCGAGGGAGAGGGAGGGAGGGAGAGACGGTAGAGGGAAACAATTACTGAACACTCCCCCTCCCCCCCAAACTCAATGTTGGCACGCGCGGGAGGGACTGCGGTCGAAGTGCATCTCACCAGACCCACCGCCAACTTTGAACATTGGGGGGAGGGGGAGGCGTTGACGGATGAATGTGGCATGTGTTCGCTAATTGTTTCCGAGGCCTGGAGCATCGGGCGGGCGGCAATGGGGGGTGACCTAAAGGGGGGGTGAAGAGTACGGCCCGAAAGGGGCCCCTCAGGGCTTCAGGGCACCATTTGAATGAAGCCAGCAGGGGCCCCGAAGGGGCCCTAAAAGAGCTCTATTGGGGTCCATTTGTTCCATCCCCGATGTAGGCCCCCCCCTCCCTGACCACCCGCCCGACCTTTCTCCCAAGGGCACTTTGTCTTCATGGCGACCTCCCTTGCCGCAGGCCTGGCTTAAAAAGTAGTCATCTGTGCCCCACCACCGTTGCCTCTGAGGATGCCGATCCTCCCTGCTTCTCCTCCTCCTGCTCCTCCGCCTCCTCCTCGTCCTTCGCCTCCTCCTCCTCCTCCTGCTCCTGCTCCTCCTCCTCCTCCTCCTCCTCCTCCTCCTCCTCCTCTTGCTCCTCCTTCCGCAGTCACATTGGCTCCAGGCGACGCAGCCCCTCCTTTTGTGTGAGGGCCGCCCGCCCGCAAGCCCCAACCTTGGAAGCCGGACAGGCGCCCGTGAGCTGCGTCGAGAGACCGGACCGGGCGACATGGGCACCCGGCACTATGTCGAGCAGCGCCTCGCGAAGCGCCGTGTGCAGGAGGCGAAAGACATGGACCTCAGGAGGAAGATCGCGGAGGGCAACGTGATCCACGGCTGGAGCAAGAGCGACACGCGCGTGGAGGACCTCAGGCGCGCGCGCCTCGAGTGCGAGGAGAGGCGCGAGCTGTTCACTGACTACAGCTATGCTAAGGCCGAGCAGGACAAGGCCCGGCAGGCGCAGATGGCGCAGTTCGAGGAGCACCTCGCCGACGAGCTGGCCCGTCGCAAGGCGGAGCAGCAGCGCAAGGACATGGACAGGATGCGCATCTGCGCCGCCAGCGAGGAGCTCCGCGGACTGAAGGAGAAACTCCACATGGCCAAGGTGAACAAGGACCGCGCGCAGCAGCTGCTCGAGCAGGAGGTCCGCAAGCACAGGGACCGCTCGCAGGAGGAGAAGATCGCGGAGGTGATGGAGAATCAGAGGCTGCAGCACCTGGAGCTCGAGCACAAACTCGAGATGGAGAAGGCCAAACAGCGCGAGCGGGTGAAGACAATCAACCAGCAGCAGATCGCGACCAAGGAGGCGCTGCGCGAAGAGGCCCTTATGGAGCACATGAAGGAGCAGGCTCAGGTGCAGGAGTTGGTGATGAAAATCGCCCAGGAGGACCAGAAGGAGGCCATGGTCAAGGAGCAGAAGAAGGTGCAGTCCCGCGTCCAGATGCAGCAGTTCCAGGCCGAGGTGAAGCAGAAGCAGGCCAATGCCATCGCCCAGGAGAAGGCCGAATTAGAGAGGATCGAGGAGTTCGCGCGGAAGAAGCGCGAGTTCGAGGAGAAGGTGGAGGCCCAGAAGGCGGAGGCCGAGCGCGAGAAGGTCCGCATCCTCAACAACATGTTGGGTGTGATGGAGGCCAAGAGCAAGGAGGCGGAGGAGCTCGAGCAGCTCCGCAATGACATGCACATGGAGGAGCTGGAGGCCGCTTCGAGGCGTCGCGAGGAGGCGCAGAAGATCAAGGCCGCCCAGGCCCGGAAGGAGATGCACCACGCTTACGTGCAGCAGATGGATATGAAGCAGACCAAGCTGCAGCGGCAGAAGGAGGAGGAGGACAAGATCCGCGAGCAGCTCTTGAAAAAGTACGCCGAGGATGACCGTATCGAGCAGATGAACGAGCAGAAGAAGCGCATGAAGGTCCAGGAGCACAAGCGCGAGGCCGAGAGGATAGTGCAGCTGAAGCGGGACGAGTTCGAAGCCGCCCGCCGTGCGGAAGCGGAGAACGAGGAGCGGATGCGCGAGGAGGAGAAGATGCGGCAGGCCATCATCGAGGAAGAGCGACGCCGGCTGATCAAGGAGCACGGCGCCCAGCTGAAGTCCTTCCTTCCGAAGGGCACCCTCGAGAAGCCCGAGGACCTCGATCTCTAGCCCAACATGGGCCAGACCAGCCCCCTGAAAAGAGTCGACTCCTGAGCGCACCCCGCCCGTCCTTCGGGGTGTGCACGAGAGCCGCGGCAGCCCCCGCGCCCCCTCGCACCCTCTCCCGCCCCCTGGCCGCGGCCAGCCGGGGAGGGGGCCTTCGACAGGAGGGGCGGGAGGAAGGACGGAGAAAAGGAGGTGCAGGAGTGGTCTGCGATTCTCTTGACCTTCCCTGGGACTCCTGCAACCTTGCCTGCCTTGCGCCAGCCGCACGGTCGCGAAGCGACAGCACGAGCACACATTGGAGCTGCGGCCCGACGAGTCTCCTCCTCCTTCTCCTCCTCCTCGACGTCATGATTTTTTCAGAACGTCGACCCCCAGAGGTCTCGACCCATCTCACGGGACCGTTTTTTTTTCGTCCCGCGTCGCTTTTTGACGCTCCCGAGGCCCGGGAAGGGCCCCCGGAGGCGGAAAAATGATATCGGGGGCGGCAAAGAGGGGGGTGATGACTAGGGGGGGGGGTGGATATCATGGCGGGGGCCATGATATTTCCCCGGATCTCATGGCGCCTCTTCTCATTTCATTACGTCCCTGGCCCCCCCGCTGTGCCACGCACATGCCGCCGGTCATGATTTGCACCCCCCCCTCTTGGACACCCCCCTCTTGGCCACTCCTGATTTTTGACGCTCCCGAGGCCCGGGAAGGGCCCCCAGAGACGGAAAAAGCATAGCGAGAGACCCTCCGTCGGGATTTGGTTCCCCGCGCGCGAGGGAGTCGGGACCCCCCTCCCTTGCAGCCATCCCCGGGAGCAGGAGGCGCGGGGCCATGCTCAAGAGTCGGGCCTGTGCCTCTACAGGAGGGATCTTCAAAAATAGTGACAAATTGGTCAGGGGACGATTTCGTCGGCATTTTTTGACATTCTTAATCGAAATTAGCTATTTTCCATTTTCGTCCAAAATCCCCTTGGAGGAGGATCGGGCCGGACGAAAGGGGGGGATTGGGAATGGGGGGGGTGCGAAATCTGCTGCATGCAGCTGGTTTCGGCCCCGCCGCCGGGCCCATTCCTCGATACATGGGCGCCTCCATCGCCGGGAGGCGCCGGGAGAATCAGCTACGTGAGCTGATTCTCACCCCCCCGTTTGCTATCCCCCCCTTTCGCCCGACCCGAGAGGTTACGTTGCATCTTCGGGGGGGCCCGCAAATTGGTGTTTTTCCCAACCATCCTGTGGTGTTGGGTCTTCGTTTTGAAGAGACAGCGCCCGCGTCCTCACTCCTCTCCTCCTCCCCCCCTCCTCCCTCCTCCCAACACCATCCTCGTCATCACCATCATCGTCATCGCCATCATCATCGTCATCGTCATCGTCATCGTCATCATCACCAGCACCAACATGGTCGTCATCATCACCATCACCCTCCGCATGACTCTATTTCGGCACACCCCTCACACGGTTCGTGGCCCCATAGGGAGCTCCACCGAAGGCCCCAGTGGCAGGGTTCGCATGGCGGCCCCGCCCCATTTTGGCGCACCCCTCACACGGTTCGTGGCCCCATAGGGAGCTCCACCGAAGGCCCCAGTGGCAGGGTTCGCATGGCGGCCCCGCCCCATTTTGGCGCACCCCTCACACGGTTCGTGGCCCCATAGGGAGCTCCACCGAAGGCCCCAGTGGCAGGGTTCGCATGGCGGCCCCGCCCCATTTTGGCGCACCCCTCACACGGTTCGTGGCCCCATAGGGAGCTCCACCGAAGGCCCCAGTGGCAGGGTTCGCATGGCGGCCCCGCCCCATTTTGGCGCACCCCTCACACGGTTCGTGGCCCCATAGGGAGCTCCACCGAAGGCCCCAGTGGCAGGGTTCGCATGGCATGGCGCACCCCTCACACGGTTCGTGGCCCCATAGGGAGCTCCACCGAAGGCCCCAGTGGCAGGGTTCGCATGGCGGCCCCGCCTCATTTTGGCGCACCCCTCACACGGTTCGTGGCCCCATAGGGAGCTCCACCGAAGGCCCCAGTGGCAGGGTTCGCATGGCGGCCCCGCCCCATATTGGCGCACCCCTCACACGGTTCGTTGCCCCGCAGGGACATAGGGAGCTCCACCGAAGGCCTCAGTGGCAGGTTTCGCATGGCGGCCCCGCCCCATTGTGGCGAACCCCTCACACGGTTCGTGGCCACATTGGGAATTCCTTTTGCTTCGTCCCACCTGCCCTGCGGTATTCACATTTGCATATGGTTGGGTCCTTCGCCAGGATATTTTTTGGGGCCTGGCGCGGGCTGGATGCGGCCTCGATGCGGATTTGGCGGGCAGTCGACGCGGATCCGACACGGATTCGACACGGATCCGACGAGGCCGGCATGGATTCGACACGGATTCGACGCGGATAGGGTCGCGACGGGACAGACGAGGTCCCCCGAGGATGCAATGCAAGAGAGGACAGGCCAGACGTCAGGCCAGGCCCTCGGCTCCCGCCCGGGCCGGGCTGCGGCGCCGGCCGTGCGCCGGCGCCGGGCGCGGCCAGGCCAGGCCCCGGGCCCAGGCTCGGAGCACTTCGGGCGGGGCGGCACGCCCTCCTCGAGTTCTGTCGGGCGTGTCCCCCTACAGGGGAGGGGAAATTCGAGGAAAAATTCAAAATACCCCAAAAATGTCCAAGAAGGGCAAAAACTACTCAAAGAAGAGTCCCCAGACTATTTTTGCGTAGTTTTTGATTATTTTGGGGGTATGTTCTATTTTTCGTCGAAAATCCTCTTGGAGGGGGACAGGACCGACTTAATCCTTGAGTCGGGCGTGTTCTCCTGCAGAAGGAGCCTTGAAAAATAACCTTAAAGAACAATTGGGGGGACGATGTTCCGAATCCATGCCTGACAATTTGCAGGCATCCTTGGCTACAGTCGGCCCGGATTAGTAGGTCGACCCTGCCAAATCAAAGGTACCCTTATGTCCTGTGCCTCGCGCCACGTGCCTCCTTGCACCCTTGTGTCCTGTGTCTCGCGACCCATACCCCCTACACTCCTGTGGCGATGTGGCCCTCGGAAGGGTCTTGTGTCCTCTCGCGCGTCCTGTCCCATCAAGGCCGACTGTAGGACGCGGACGAATCCTTTCCAGAGCATGGAGCGCTCTCCGGAGCGCTCCGAGAGCGGGCCGCGGCGCCCGAGACATCCCCCTCAGACGCGCCGGCTCTCTTCGAGAGTTTCCTGAGCCAGCCGCGTCCGAGCTTGTCCTCGTGCCGCGCTCGTCTTGCAGTGAGAGCGCTGGACGAAGAGCGGCTCGGACCTCGGAGGCCATTTTTGGGATTTCAACACCGCGAATCAACATAACTGTTGCACCCGCATAATCCTGAATCCTTCCAAAACGTTATTTTTGGTACGTTGATCATGGGAACCCGTGACACTCTTGCAGTTCTTTAGAACGAACGTGCGCGGCGCTGGGGCGAGAGCCACATTTTGAACAGGAACCGCTCCAATCCGTTAAGTTCTAGTAGTTTTTACAGAGAATGTGCGCCGCGCCAAAGCGTCCACATTTTGAAAACGACCCGCCCTCAATCCGTGGAGCTCTTGTAATATTTTGAAAACGAATGTGCGCGGCGCTATGGCGAGAGCCACATTTTGAAAAGTTCTTGCAAGGTTTCAAAAGGAATGTGCGCGGCGCTAAGGCGAGAGCTTATTTTGAAAACGACCCGTCCTCAATCCGTGAAGCTCTTGCAATTGATAAAACGAATGTGCGCATTGCTAAGGCGAGAGCCGCATTTTGAAAACGACCCGCCCTCAATCCGTGAAACCCTTGCAAATGTTTAAACGAATGTGCGCATCGCTAAGGCGAGAGCCCTTTTTCAAAACGACCCCCCCTCAATCCGTAAAACTGCTGTGCATTTAAAAAACTAAGGTGCGCAGTGCTAAGGCGAGAGCCACATTTTGAAAACGACCCGCCCTCCATCTGTGAAGCTGTCGCCATTTTTTAAGCCTCAGGGTTATAAGCGGTGAGGAAGTCTCAGGTGAAACGCCCAGCCCGCCCTAGAAACTGGCCTCGGGGTGCGACAGGGAGGATATATCTATAAGGAGAAGGAGGGGGAGGAGAAGGAGGAGGAGGAGGACGAGGTAGAGCTCGAGGAGGAGGAGGAGGAGATAGTGAGAAAGGGAGGCAGATCTGTTGAATCTCGCTGTGGCTTGAACGCTGTTGGGCAACAAAGCGGCAACCTTTTTTAATTCGTCGCAACCTCAGAAGTCAGCGGTTTCATACATGAGCAGATCAAGAAATTGCTAATGAGTAAAGTTGGCGCCCACCAGATTTAGGACGACGGTTGAGAACTGCTAGGCGGTGATTCATAATGCGGGTGTTAGGCCTGCTCGTGGGCGTCATCGTCCATGCCGTTGAGAATATATGATTGCCCTCTTCCGAGCCACTGCAAGCGGCAGATACTCATTCCCTACCTAGGCTCTGCCTAGAAGGGTTCTTACTCGGTATGCTTAAAGGGCCGGGCAGTGCAACTCGCCCCGGGCGGTTCCCCCAGTATCCTCCCCGCGGTTCCCCCAGCTACGTCCCCTTGGCTTAGCGTTGCTTATCTTAGCTTAGCTTATTTCATCTTAGCCTAGCTTCATCTTAGCTTAGCCTAGCCTAGCGTAGCCTAGCGTAGCCTAGCTTAGCTTAGCTTTGCTTAACTTAGCTTAACTTCGCTAATCTCATCTTAGCTTAGCTTAGCTTCGCTTACCTTAGCGTAGCTTAGCTTAGGTTAGCTTAGCCTTGATTATCGCATCTTAGCTTAACTTAGCTTAGCCTAGCCTAGCTTAGCGTAGCTTAGCTTAGCTTAGCTTAGTTTAGCTGATTCTAGCTTAGCTTAGCTTAGCTTAGCGTAGCTTAGCTTTGCTTATATCACCTTAGCTTAGCTTAGCTTAGCTTAGCTTAGCATAGCTTAGCTTAGCTTAACTTAGCTTAGCTTATGCTGCTTCCCTAGGGGCTCCAACTCCTAGGTAGGGTCGCACTGGGATGATTTTTGAATCGTCCCCTGTGCTCTCCACGAGGCGGTCAGGGACGACGGGGAACTTCGTCTGCACTGCGGGGGAATCTCCGACCTTGTAGGCAGGAGGCGGCAGCGGACCCATGTTTGAGTGTCAGACGACCGGTTCATCTCGCCCATATCGCCAGCCACCACCTGCCGATCTCTAGTCGGCGTCGAGCACGGGTGGGAATTGAGAAGGGGCGGGCCTTTTCAGAAGGCTCGTAATCGTAAGTGCCCCGGACTTCTGAGCAATTGCCTAAGCCTTCCCCGAAGGCGCAAGCAACTTCTCAGAAGGCGCGAGGGCTGCTGAGAAGCCCCGCCGCCTTCTGAGAAGGCCTACTCCTTCTCACT